GTGCGTCTCATGCCAGAGCGTCTAGGCAGGGCGGACGGACGGAAGGAGGAGAGCAGGAGATGGAAGAGGAAAAGGAGAGGGGCGGATGGAGGGAAGGAAGAGAGTTGAAAGAGGAGAAGGAATTAGGTGGACGGTAGGAGGAGAGAGGGAGATGGAAGAGGAGTGAAGCGGACGGAAAGAAGAAGCTAGGAAAAAGGGAAGAGGAGAAAGAGGGATGGAGAAACGATCGTAAGAAAGCGATGGATGATAAAGTGGACAGAAGAAGGAAGGGGAGAGACGTAAGAGGAGAAGGGAGAAGAGAGATGGAAGAAGAGAGGGAAGGACGGTGGAGGAATGAGGCGCAACCGGAGAAAAGACAAAGACGGAAGGGAAGGTTAAGCAGAGGCAAAAAAGATTGAAATGAGTAAATAGAGAAAACATAGGAAAGGGAGAGAGAGAGAGAGAGAGAGTAGGTAAGTTAGTCTTCATAGGGGGGGTCCATAGGCGTCGTAGTGGGAAAGAGGGAGGAGGGGGAGAGTGTGTGAGTGAGAGGGAGAGTGAGTGAGTGTGAGAGAGGAAGGGAGGAGAGTGAGGGTGAGAGGGAGGGAGAGAGTATGAGTGTGAGAGGGAGAGGGAGTGAGTGTGAGAGGGAGAGGGAGTGAGTGTGAGAGAAAGGGAGGATGAGTGAGAGAGGGAGAGTGAGTGAGTGTGAGAGGGAGGGAGAGTGCGTGAGAGAGAGTGAGGGTAGAGTGGTGGCAGCAACCAGTATGACCCTCACATACCTGGGGTTGCCTAGTGACCGTCTACTCCCTCTTTCTCTCTGTCTCTCTCCCTCTGTCTCTCTGTCTCTTCCTCTCTCTTCGTCTATATCTCTGTCTCTTCTTCCCTCCCTTTATCTCTCTTTGTCTAGTTCTCTCTTTCGACTATATCTCGCTGTCTATCTCTCATTGTATCCCATTCCATTGTTGTCATCTCTCTCTCTCTCTCGCTCTCTCTTTGTTTCTCATACAGTTTCATTTCTCAATCTCAAACCCTCCTTCTCCTCGTCTCTCTCTCTCTCTCTCCTACTATTCTCAACTTTATCTCTCCTATCCTTCTTCTCCAATTCCTCTTTCATTATTCTATATGATCCCATCTTTCTTCTCTTTCTCTTTCTCTTGCTTTTTCGTGGTGTGAGAGTAATCTATTTTGAGATAGATAGATAGATAGAAAGATAGATAGATACAATAGATAGATAGATAGATAGATAGATGGTGAGATTGAAGTATTAAATGTAGCGGCAAATATACCAAATTTATAGAAAAAGTTGTTATGTAGTCATTAGTTCAAACGCTGATAACAATGACATCATAGGGAACATTTCAGCCAATCAGATGTGGTCTCAGAGTCTATGATAGTGACATCATAGTTATCAAAAACACAATCATCGGAACTGAACCATGTTATCGTAATTATATTATTTACAAAATAATTACATAATTTCTCTTCTGTGTCCTGTTCTACAAGTCTTTTCTTTTCGTCTGTTTTAAATTCATTGGTTACATTAAGGGTAAAGTAATATAAGAAAATACAATAAAATGCATATTGTTGGTAAAATAAATTCTGCAGGAACAAATGATTTAGTTGTCCAGGTGTTGTGTTCGGAGAGATTCGATACTGCTCCGAATCTTTCTTATACGTGCTAAAAGGATATATCTTTTCGATCGATCTTATAGTGTCACTTGTTAACTCTGTAACACTATTATTTTTTGAAGGTTATTATTGTTAGATATGATGCTTGACTATAATAGCAGGCTAACTTAGGAATTTGAATAAGAACGTGATGAAAATTCGAATGAAGGATCGTCGCACTCACAGAAATGTTATTAAGCTTGACAAGTCACCTAATGTTGGAAGATTAAACTGAACATAATCGCTAAACTAATTATTTAATATCTTAAGTTCACGGCGTTAACTTATTTAACATGACCCAAACTAACCTAACTATTTCAAAGTCATATTATGTAAGTTACCCTAGTTGTAGTTTGTTGCCGGCATTTAAAGAAATATGAAAGTAATATAGCGGTTCTGTTCGTGATACTTTTTTAACAATGACTACCCCGATGTAAACAATTCGAGGCTGACCTGAGGTAAGTGCAGGGAGACTTACTTCTTCGATTAGTCGGTTTTAAGCATTTCGTAATAATATGCCACAGTTTTATCACAGCTTAAGTAACACAAGAGAATCGATTAGGAAGTGGAATACAGTATCTTATTAATTTCGGTTTTAACACAAGATTTTACGGTGTTGTTGTTGGGAATATTGACAAAAATATTCTGGGAGGCTACAGCATAAGATAATCAATCAATAATGACTAGATTTGATGTAGGTGTAATAATTGCTAGTAGTTCTGTTTGTAGATGAGCAGGTTCTCCGTTGCCGCGCCTCATGTACAGATCTGAGGTGCCGTGAGTCGGGTAGGTGATGATAACAAGAAGTCATTATCATACCCAGTTAAGATTATTCTGGTGATATATTTCACATGTCATGTCAAGTTCGGGTGCATTGTTAGGTGTAGGAGTTATCGTAGTCACAGCTCCCGGACGACGCAGAGGCAGACGATCATACGTGGAGGGATGATCTTAGGGTATTCTTATCTCGTCGTCCCCGGCAGGCGAGTCATCTGTCACACATACACTAACTAAATCGGTGGAAAGTCCCTCACCAAATTCACAAAAGACGATTTATTTATTTATTTATTGATTGACTTATTCATTTATTCATTATTTTATACAGTTGGATAGGCCTATAATTTGGGAATTTCTTAAAACTGCTGGTGGTGTTAAAAATATCACGTTGTTGGTGAAAGTAGCGAATGAAACCTTACCTTGAATTGGTTAGTTTTTGTTTTCATGGACAATAGTGGCAATTGTTCCCACTCAGTAAGATTAAACCGAAACAATTTTTATTTATTTTTTTTGTTTTTTAGGTGATTCTCCAGGTCTTGGTATTAAGTTTATATTTGTTCAAAACACTTCCTAAAAGGTTCGGTTTTAAATATATTAATTACAAGGTATATCAACTACATAGACATTGTAATTTCAGCGAGAAAGAAATAATAGACAGTTGTTTGATACGGTTTCATTTAGTCCTTAAAACTTAACTACATCTGAGAAAGACTGTCGTAATTACGTATTTGAACTATGTATAAATCCACTAAAATGAACCTGATTGTAATTTAGCTGTCAATATTGATTAACGCTCGTGACTTGAGGCAGCATAATTGGCTCCTAGATTTCACAAAGTGTCGTACCGGTTATAAAATGAACCTGATTGTAATTTAGCTGTCAATATTGATTAACGCTCGTGACTTGAGGCAGCATAATTGGCTCCTAGATTTCACAAAGTGTCGTACCGGTTATATACTTTTTACTTGCCCAATGGCGTGGGTATGACGTCATAAGGTCATGATGTAACGATGGCGTCATATTGCTCGAGACCTGCCATTGGTCGGGCACATCACCACCATCCAGTCATGAACGAGGCGCCCGGGAGGTGCTCTCTGGGCTGAGGTGACGCATAGTCTGCCGTTTTAATTGACTCTGGGAAAACCAATAACGTTTACTATGCTGCGCTTCATCGATGTAACTCCCTCATGTTTGGTGATAACTGTACGTGAGAATAATGACACGTATTTGGTCATTCTTGTTATTGATAAACTATATTTATGCCGAATATGTGGTGGACTTTGCGTTAATTAGAAAATCCATTGTTTTTCGATGCTATTGATAGTAATTATGAATCGGATGTCGGTTACTAAATTGTGAGGGCCAGCTAGTAAGTGATGTTGGAGAATGGTGAATGTTGTGGTAATAGTGAGTGTTTCTGTTGAGTGTGTCAGATGTCTCAGTGTGTGTGTGTGTGTGTGTGTGTGTGTATGACGAGCAGGTGTTAGGATGTGTGTCGAAATTTACCATATATGACAATTTATCAAAAAGCAAACTGCCTTGTGACCCTGTAAATAACATGACCCCAGTATTGCCATCTCCAAGTTCAATGTTTTTTTTTTCTTCTATTCACGACTCGGTAAAGAGGCCACGGCAGCCATTATATCGAGTTAAAACTAAGACAAAACTATCACTGAATAATGTCTGATTTTAGCAGCAACGAAACACCGGAATCTGATAAAGTTAAGAATGAAACAGTTCATACATCTCATTGGTTCGTTCCTACCGAAATCATATAGTTTAGTTGTGGTTTATTTTAGCGGATAACCCAAACCAAATATAAGCAGAACGAACCTAACAATCTAGACCACTTCGACTTCCATTTCTCTTTTAAACCAGAAATCCAGAAGTGAAAACAAAACAAACCACAGCAATGGGGGAAATCTTACTTAACCTGACTTAAATTAACTTACGATTTCCTTCTAAAAAAAATTGCCACTACCCCAGAAGCCAGGACGAGCGGTTGGGATTGAGTTATATTAGGGAGGATAAGACTGAGTCCAGGTTAGATTATATTAAATATAGTTTAGGTCATTTCAGCTCAGGTGGTGGGATTAGATAGAGAGTAGATAGGATTAGTGTGATTTATTTTAAGCTCAATTAATTTGGGTTAAAATGAATTGGGTTCTATTAATTACGTTAGTTAAGGTTGAGTTTAGATAGGTATAGGTTAGGTTAATGTTAAATATAGGTTAGGTTAGATTAGGTTTGATTAAGTTAGGTTGGGGTTAAGTTGGGTAAGGTTTAGATGAGGTTAGGTTAGGTTAGATTAGGTTTAGGTTAAGTTAGATTGGGTTAGGTTAGGTTAGATAAGGTTTTGGTTAAGTTCGAATAAGTTTAGGGCATGTTAGTATAGGTTTGATTTACACTAAGTTAAATTAGATTTAAATAAGGTTAAATTGGATATGCGCCAAATCTGTGTGGCTAATTTTGGTTAGATTGGATTTTGCCTTGAGACCTTTCAGGATTTAAAAGGTAAACACTGGTCATTTATTACCATACGTCTCACATTTTATCTCTTTTTCTTATTCCAGGTGAGCTCCCGCCTTCAGGTGAGCTCCATCCCCCCATGGGCCTCCTTCAGCGTCCCTCCCGCCCCTGAGAAAAAACACCCGAAACCACTAATCCTCAGGGCCCCAAATCCAAGACCTCGAGACCTCCACCACCAGAAGTTCCAGAAGGTCTTCGTGTAAGGGAGTGGTTGTTTAGCGGTATTCCCCACCAAGAAGAAGTAACTCTAACAATAACAATTCCGGTTGGGGGAATAAATTTCAGTGGACAAGTTCTGGGGCTGGAGTGAACGCTGTTTTAAAAAAAGACCAAGAAATAGAAAAAAAACACAAAGAGAATAAAAGGGGGGAAGTCACAGTGTAGAAAAGTGTCTTAGAAAAGTGGCCACAAGAAGCTGAGAGATAAAGTCAAATTAAAGGATTAGAAAAAAAAAGGTACTATTAATGGCAGGCAAACATCAGTGAGGTAGTGAGCACCGGGGGAAGGGCGACCTCCTGCAAGTGTTTGATAATAGTGTTTGAATCAGTGGTTGTGTGAGACCAAGAGCCACCAAGATGCCTGGTCTGGACGCTCTCATCGCCCTCAAGGACCGCGCGAAGCAGGTCAGGGAACGCTTCAACATCAGGTTAGTTGAGGTTATATACTTGTTCATTACCTGTAGGTTACCTGAAGGCGTTTTCCCTACGTTACCTTGATGTAAGTTTTGTTAATTAGTGTTTGTTTTTAAGTATGTGGAAAACTATAACTTATACAGTCAGCCAAAGATCCAGCGACCCCACCTGGCAATACTTGGTGAGGTAAGGCTGTATGTAAAGGTGATTGTGATTGGTGGATCTGTTTTGGGCTGTATCACTGTCAGGATAAATATTAAACAAACCAAAGGTAGTTTATTTATAATAATAAACTATTCATCATTATTTTAGATCATGAGAAGTTTCCAAATGTTCGTATATTTGCTTAAATAATGAAGAAAATTTGATGTGAGAATCTTGTGGCAGCTGTGGTTGTAGTTGCATTGCCAGGAGAAATTGCGAGTACAACACCCAGGGTGGTGTTGCTGGATATTTCGTTGACTGTACATTATATCAACGTTCTTTTTTGTATAAAGAAAATATGTACATAGAATCAGCGCATCTTTTTTGAGCATCAGAAAATTTAATTTGTATATTAAGTCAGCGTTTTTTCTTCTGATTTGGGAAACAGTTCAGTGTTGAGGGAGGTACCGAGGCTTTCAGTGGTGTACACGAGCTAAAGAAACAAAGATTTACAGAGATTTAATCGTAGAGGAGAGAATCAAGATGCCATTTATCACATAAGTTATACTCAGCAAGTTTAATTTATCTATCGATGGTTCATGAGGAAATAGTATTTTATCTCTGACCACGTTGCAGGGAATAATTTTTCTTCAAACGGCTGTTATTCGATGTTGGAGACTTCAGTCTTGTAAAAAGCCAAGATTTTTGTTTTATTCTTCCCGCAACTATGAAATTCCTCGAACAAAGCCGTTATTGTAATAAAAAGTCTACTCTAATTTACGCTTTTCTGGACCATTTGGATATCTCGAAAAAAAATGGACTGAATTTTGGCTATTTCGTGTCACATGTGAGCCAAGGCGTGGGTCAAAAATCTTGACTTTGATTTCGGATGATTTCATTTCGGCGTCACACAGGTACGCCAGGTGTCTGAGTCAGGTGGCTGCTGGTGGTGACCTCCCCAACCTCTCAACCTTGAATTCAATAAGTAATCCATACTACAGTTCAATAGCCATGATCGTAGCAACAGGTGTGACAGTGTAAGAAGCAACACCATTCTATAACATGACCTCTAAAGCTTATTATTAACCTGATACTATATCTCTTACTTATAATTGTACAGTAAATAAAACACACACACACACACACACACATACACACACACACACACACACACACACATACACACACACACAGGAGGTTTAGACTTCGGGTTGAGTGTAAGGAATATTAGTGTTTTTTTGGTTATTCTATACAAGTGCTGTTCTACAAATGTGTGTTTTGTGTGTATAAACGGAAATGTGAATAGGTTCCGATAGTTATTCGTCGTGAATTCAGCCACCATTGTGTTTGTTTTTTGGTTATTCCTACGTGATTTTTAAGTTTGTTAGTCTCATTTTTAATGTATTGCCAATTTTCGTACACTTACTGTAAGCCTATTTTCAGTTAGACCCAATTTTCATATGATGCCAATTTTAGTATACTTAAGCCTATTTTCGGTTAGACCCAATTTTAATGTGTTCAATTTAGACATTTATGGCTGGCCTAGTTCGTAAGACGATTTTAAATCTCAATTCATTTTACTCAAACCAAATTTCTAGTTTATAATACCATTTTATTTTTAGTCTAATAGGGATTCACAGGGTTCGTTGTGTGGGTTCAGGGTACGACTTTCAGCATGTAATTGTTTGTTTTTAGCTGATTATTTTCAAAATCGTGTCTTTATTATTTTCTATGTATGTTTTAATCTGTTTGTTGTAAATTAATTTTTTATTTATTCGTTATCGTGGATTGTTTGGCTTTAAGTATTTTCATAATTGTGGCGTTAAATTATTATCGTTCCTCTCGTTGAGTATTCCAATAATATTTACATAACTGTGAGGGAATACAGGCATATATCTTTATTTTAATCCTCTATGGAAATCTACAAGAATATTCTGGCACTTAAATTCTCATAAAACAAATTAGTGCTGGTGAATGTTTTCTTCATTTCGTCTTAGATAATTCAATAACCCAGAAGGGAAATTATATAGCGCAGGTGATGGGGAAGAATTTTGTCTGGTAGAATAGCTCGGTTAGGTACAATTCACTGTATTTGTTGTTTTTAACGTTGAAAAAGAGTGAAGTTGGTGGTGCATGTTCCCTGTGTTCTTCGGATCATAATAACTTGTTTATTTTGTTTTTTGTGAAACTATTTGTGCTATACTACAGAGTTGGTCTGCCCTCACGTTGTATATTTCTCCCTCCGTATTACTCATGGCATCAATTCTGCTATGGATCATATTTCCTAAAATTCAGGGACGAAAAAATCTCGTCAAACTTTCCCTTGACTTACTGATGAAAACTCTGATGACGTCACTCCAGATGTCATGGACTACAAATATGTTTTTTCCCGGATATTCGTATTTTGTGTTATATCATTGTGTCAGTTAGTTTTAACATAAATGATTCTCAAGCACCTACAAGACATTTTTTTAAACGTGATGTTATTATAACTTTTACTTCAATATAACGATAGTTGCATTAAAGAAAAGTCGCTTCTATTTACGACGAAAAATTACAAACTATTTTTCCCGATTTTTTTTGAGTCGGTGATTGCTGCCCCCGGACTAAAACGAATCTGAAAATCATTCGCTAATTATTCATCATAAATAGAAAATAAAAAAGTTGTTATCTTGAATTATTAATAATACTATAGTGTATATACTAAAGCTAGATACCTTAATTGTTTGAAACCATATAACATCGACATATACATCAACACCCTTCATTGTACAGCACCTTTCTAATGGGCCAACAGGTCATATACTAATCAATTGAGATAAGATAAAATTTTACTTGTGAGGAGCGACATAGAGATGTTTAGTGGACCACCTCATGTGTACATAACCTCTAGCTCTGGTAAATTATCACCCTTTAAAATGCAGTGTAAACAAGTAGTGGTATTGTCAATGTACATCGGTCTTCACTGAGGGCTTAGGAGACCTTATTAACAGCGGTACAGTAAGAGAGAGAGAGAGAGGTGGGGGAATCATTTTAACATAAATCAATGAGAGTGAAAGGTTGGGCAGTGGTAGGCGAATATTGCTATTACATTGCTTATGAAGTCTGGAGGATACGATTCGTCAGCTCTCAGGGAGGTAATGCTTATGTTATTCCCAGAATGGAAGGTAAACTCAACCAATAAGCAAACTTAAAGACCTTTTGGAAGATTGGATTTTGTAAGATGAACGAAGAACAATGAATTCAAGAAATATATAATTGATACGTTTAAAGTAAATAATATAGTCTCATTATTCAATTGAGTTGTTTTTGTACGTCTCCCATCAATATATATCAGATTCTAACCTGCGTGATTTCAAACTTTTATTTTATTTTATTTTTAAAATTTTTGTTGTTAGGGAAGGAAGGAGGGCTGGTACCTATTATTGCATTTTTGTTTTTGTTTGAGAGTGTGCGATGGCTTAGGGGATAGAGAACTCACTTATTGTACTCATGATTGATACATGAATAAAAGATCTGGGAAATAGTTATAATACGATTAATTTAATTTATCTTATCTTAACCTAACCTAACCTAACCTAACTTAACCTACTCTTGGTGTAAATAAAGCAACTCTAATTTAAGTTTACTTTATCTTAGCAAAAGCTAATCAAGCTAAACTAGTTAATAGCCATATGAATTAGCTGGGACTGCCTGCCTATCCTAACCTAACCTAGCCTAACCTAACCTAGCAACTTTCTTCTCCCACCCCATCCTTCTACACCCATCACATCATCTTCACTCTCATCCAACCCCTCCCACCACCATACTCTCCTTCCTCCCCAGCCACTTTCCTCAACCACCCTCCCTCCCACAAGTATCCTGCCTCCTCCCCTCCCACCCTCCTCCCCTCCCACACCCCTCTCACTCCCCTCCTACTCCCCTCTCACTCCCCTCCTACTCCCCTCCCCTATGCAACAGGGACAGAACGTTGATGAGACACCACTGTGGCTGCTTTGATCATTACTCCCACAGGACCTTCCTCCCAATCTGGCGCCGTGCTACGAATTCACAGGTTTTCCCCCGCCGCCGTAAGGACCATTACCCACCTCCCTCACTCTGGGATTCCCACCTTTAGTACGTGGGGGTTATAGCACTGTCTACCCCTCCCCCTCTCTTTACAGTTTGTGGTATAGAAATAATATGGCGGTATTCAGAGAGGAGGAGGAGGAGGAAGAGGAGGTTGTGTGTTGATTTTTCGACTCTTTTCGGAAATGTGTATGTCCATTATTGGGAGGGGCAGGGGGAGGGGGGATTGAGAGGGGAAATGAGGGGATGAAAAAGGAAAGGAAATGAAGGGTAAAATTGTAAACTGAGTGGGAAAATAGAGTGGATAGAGTAACAATTAGTGAAGAAATGAGTGGGATGAATACCAAGAATTAATGAAAATATAGCGAAATAAAAGAATAGAGGTAGAATTTGCGAGGAAACGAGGGAAAAAAATATAGGAGAGAGTAAATGGAGAAAGAGGAGATGAGTAAAACAAGGTATAGGAATTTTGACTGCTAACTGATGCTGGGTGAATATGTCTAGTCCAAGTAGAGTCTCAGTGTAATTTTGGTGTCATTTTAAGCGTTAGTTTTGTCTTTAACCCTCAAATAAGAGAGTTAAGTAGACCTTACGCTCATATATCTACAAGACGTGAGAAAGATTTAACGTAGGAACTTTTGAGAATCTATATTTGTGGCGTAGCTGAAGTGAGGCAGTTAAATACGTCCTCACACCTGTTGTATTTAGGGATTTTAATTAAGTTACGATATTTTTTTTTTTTGGTAAGAATCTGAACTTAAATTACCGGATGACTTATTATGAGAAAAGGGTAAATAAATGT